GGTCCTTTGCTCAGTCCATGATGCTTGTTTTAAAGAGCAGTACAGTGGAGCTTGTGGGCTTAACTGAGGCAAGAGACCCAGGTCACTGCCGAGGACCGTATCGGGGGCCAGATGGTTTGCCTGGGACAAACTCAGCAAGAGGACGCGAACACTGCTCTGCATCTCCATCCCGGGCCCTCACCCGCCGCCCACCCACCCCAGCCTCCGCCATGCTCTCGCTGACCTTATTTCCCTTTGACAAGGCGCGCATAGTCTTCAATAATGCAGGCCCCCACCTAACACAGAAGAGGCCTGTCACCCAAAAATAACTTGAAAAGCAGACAGAGGAAAGCAGATAAGCATTCAAAATCATTTATTTATAGCACAGAACACAAAACCGTCAAAGAGACCACAGGCAAGCGACAATCACAGTACCCTTTGGGGGGCAGCTGGGAGCCGGTCCCATCCCACAGAGCTGCCTCAAAAGTGTGTGCCTCCAGATCTGGCCTCCCTGGGACGGGTCTTCAGAGAAGTAGAGGTTGAGGTGAGGTGTAAGGAGGAGAAGGGGCAAACACTCAGACCTCAGTCCAGTATTGGATTAGAGAGCGTCAGTGAGAGCTTTTGGAGAACCCTAAGATTTATGCAGAGGCTGGGATCCTGAGTGGCCCAGAAGCAGAACTCCTGCATGGGTTGGGGGGGGTGGGTCTGGAGGATCAGCCTTTTCTGACTCTGGTTATTGCTGAGCCAGACGAATTTTGCAGGCTCATACCTCACTCCTGGGGAAAGAGGCAACTGTGGGTTGAATCCTTTTTCTGCCCACTCTTCTACCTTAGATGCACCCCTCAGGTCCATGTACAGAAGTCAGTCCCCAACCTGGATAGGACACTGTGCACTAGACAACTCCCTGCCAAAGGAGAATCTGAGATTCTGGAATGTTCTAGCAAGGTAGCCTTTAAAAAAAAGAAAGATAAAAAAAAAATTGTTTCTGAGGAACAAAGGGGATAAGAAGCCAGAGAATTTCAGTCTCATAGGGCAGAATTATTTCTGCAAGAATTTTAATAATAAAAGTGCTTTTATAGCTCTAAGTATATATTTCGTTACTGCCAGCCAAAAATAATACCCTGGTTGATCAAAACTGACACCACCAAACTTTAAATGTCACCGAATACTGAACAACACAGGCAAGCAGATCCAAATCAACAAGATTCTATCTGGATCATCAAAGCAAATGGCAGCTTGGTACCCAGCCACAGATGGTCAGCAAACACTTGCAAGGCCCACAGACCAGCAAGCTGCTAAGACAGAATGGCAATGCGATTCCGCTCTGCTCACCACCGATCCCTTCCCTCACCCAAGGTGATTGCTCCCAGAGGCAACTGAGGTAAAACCAATAAGTGGTTTGTGGAGCTAAATGGAAATCCCTAATTGGCCAATCATGTGACATCCATCATGGATTTTGTAATCCATAAACCCTTGCAAAATGGGACACCCTAAATTCTGCAAAGGGCGATGCTGTCCATCTATTCTATGTCCTGCCTGCTGGCAAGTCTAAGCCAAGGATTCCCTGTGTACCTTGTGCTGGCCAGAAAAACCACCAGAGTAGAAGACAGAGCCTTATTCTCAAGGAGCTGATATCACCTTGGGGAAGAAATACGGTTAGTTTGTTCCTTTCCCCTGCGTTTAAAAACTAATTTGCTTGAAAATCATTTCAGCTTACTGCAGAGTTTTAAGGACAAAGAATTCCTTGCCATACCCTTCCACCCAAACTCCCTCATTATTCATAGTTGCGGCAGTTGCTCTATGTATGGGTTAATTATCTATGTTTATCTGGACTCATTTTGACTAGGCTTTTTTTCCCCCGAACCATTTGAAACTGAGCTGCAGACGTGATGTCCTATCACTCCTAAATACCCCAGTGCATTTCTTCAGAACCAAGATCTTCTCTGCACGACCTCTATTCAACTCTACCAGTCAGAAAGTCCTGGGTGCAGTATCACCGTATCAGTCTATCTTTGGTTGCTATAACAAAAATACCACAGACTGGGTACGTTTTAAAGGCTTACAGTTCTAGTTGAAGGTTGTGGGGCTGCACCTGGTGATGGCCTTCTTGCTGGTAGAGTCCTGAGGAGTCACATGGGGAGAGACAGGGAACCTGTATTATGTGTAAATATCTTCTGGTCTCTTTTTTTCTTATCCAGCCAGCAAGAGCCAATCATGGGGACTCTACCGATGACAATTCATCCTACCCACTTCCCAAAGGCCCTACCTCAAAACACCATATTTGTATTAAATTTAACCCTATTGCTACCAAATAATGGGGATTCACTTTCAGCACATGAACCCTTAGGAGGGGCACACTCAAGCCACGTCCAAAACTGTACCCGCTTCACAAACTCCATTCTGCAGTGACTCTCTCCTTTGGGGACCAGGACCACCCAGGATGTGTGGTATGTGGTGATGGTCTCCCGTCTTCTTCATCTGGGAGAGTTCTCCAGTCTGCCCATATTTCAAGTCCCCACCACTCTGTGCCCCAACCTAAGTGGGATATCTCTTTCAGGCAGCATCAGGGCAGAATTTTCTGGCAGGAACACTGCAAAATGCCACCATACTCCTCTCAGTGCATCACCCCGACAGTGCAGGATGTCGACTCTGCCCCAGCACTGGTGGGTTCCCTGGTCACGTTGCCAAGTCCTCCACCTTGAAGTCACCATTTTTTTGTCTTGTGATTTATTCTTCTTCTAGGATGCCAGTATCCTGTTCCTCTACCCACCTGTGACTCTGCCCACCAGGCTTAGCCTCCATTGATGACTCCTTTCTGAATCAGACTCCCCTAGGATGGTGCCAAGTGATTATTTTCTGCTTCCACCATCCCATCCTCATCTATTTGGCATCACGCTTTAAACAAGCCTTCCCTCCCCGTCTCTTATTTATTCCTATCGACGTGAACTTATGGATTTCTATGGTGTTCATTGGGCTCCATCTGTTCCTATCACTATTTGTTTTGATGCTCAAATTATCCCAGATTTAGTCAGTGAGAAACCTTTCAAAGGGGGTTCCTGTATCCTTTTGATGTGCCCCTGTTGAAAGCTCGTGTGTGAGACAATGCAAGAAGGTTTAGAGGAGAAATGGTTGAGTGGTAGCTGAAGGCAGGTAGGATATGGCTGGAGGAGGTGGGCACTGGGGGTGTGCCTTCAGAGTGTATATTTTGTATCTGGCCAGTGGACCTCTCTCTCTGCTTCCTGATCATCATGTGAGCTGCCTCCTTTGCCACACTCTTCTGCCATGATGCTCAGCCTCACCTGGAGCCCTAAGGAATGGAGCTGGCTGTCTATGGACCAAGACCTCTGAAATGGTGAGCACCCAAATAAACTTTTTTTTCCCTCTACAACTTTTCTAGTCAGATCTTCGAGTCACAGCCGTGAAAGAGCTGGCTAAAATGGTCCCCATCATTATTTGAGTGTCTCTTTCCTTTATGGCTCCACCTTACCTTTTCCCTGTCCCAGACTAGAACCAATGCTTTCTCTAGGAGTGCTGGTTCCTTTCAACGGCGGGTGATATTCAGACACCAAGATCTGAGTATGAGCTCTGCTCATTTTTGCTGTGCTGTCAGCATTTCTAGGCCCATCCAGGAGATTGAGCCAGCAAACACACATATGTATATCTGTACAATGACACACACACACACACACACACACACACACTCATACACATACTGTTGGTATATTTATGTATAGAAACCATGAGTTCATAATGACTTTCAAATTCCAACCCAACCCTTTATGGTTCTTTCTAGCTTTTTTTTTTCATGTTTGTTAGTGTCTTCAAAATTAAGAAATTTGTTCTCATTATCCTTGATCTAGGTATTTATTTCTCGCTGTATTTACTCATTAGCTAAATGAAGCCCATCTCCCAAACAAGCTGCCCTCTCCTCTGCCTGCTACCTGCTCCCATCTCACATCCTTGGGTGTCAGAGAAAACTCTGTGCAACATGCCTTTTTGTAGCTCCCCTCTCTCTCCCTTCCTGTACCACCGTGTGACATTAAGGGACTATTAACTGCTCTGAGCGAGGAGGGAAGGAACCATCAGAAAGGAAGGGAGGAGAGATTGTGCCTTTGCCCTTGCTTAGTACTTGAGTAGGCAGAGCCTTGTAAACTTTACTGTGTGTAATGCCCTTTGGTACACACTCTGCCCTCTAACCACATTTCATAAATGAGGAAGCAAAAAAAAAATCATCTCAAAGATTGTTTTAGTCAGCTCGTTTTGCTACTGTGACTAAAATACCTGACCAGAGCAATTGTAGAGGGGAAAATTTTTATTTGGATGCTCACAGTTTCAGAGGCCTCAATCCATAGACAGCCAGGTCCATCCCTCAGGGCTCCAGGTGAGGTGGAACGTCATGGCAGAAGAGTGTGGCAAAGGGAAGCTGCTCACATGATGGTCAGAAGGCAGAGAGAGAGGTCTCCATTTGCCAATTATTAATATATCTCCAAAGCCACATCCCCAATGTCCCACCTCCTCCAGCTGCACCCCATCTGCCTTCAGTTTCCACTCAATCCCATCAGATGATTAATTCACTGATTGGGTAAGGCTCTCATAATTCAATATTTCTTCTTTAATCCTTCTTGCATTGTCTCATGTGAGTTTTGTGAGGACATCTCACAACCAAACCATCACGAAGATTAAGTGACTTACCCAATGTTGCATAAATTGTGGATGACAGAACCCAAACTCAAACCGGGGTCTCTGATGTACAAGCCAGGATTGACACAAGTCCCAGAGCAGGTGGTACTAGTTAATATCTGCCACCTCTTCCAAAGTACAGATTGCTCATCTGTTTGGCCTTTTTTATTTTCCTTATGCAATCTTGGCCTTTGTGGGTTGTATAGAATACTGAGGACAGGTAGTGGATCCAAGCATAAAAATCAGGAAAAGTTGTAAGAAAATCGACTGTAGCAGACACACTCTAGGTTGATCTCCAGTGAGTTAACATACTCTCACCATCTCCCCATGAGCACACAAAAGACCTGTGACTGGCTTCTAGCCAATAGGACACTGCAAATGACATGTCACTCCCATCCATTATGACATCACCATGCTATATAAGATTCTGTTGGCAGCCTAGAGTCACAGAGTCTTCTGCTGAACCTGAGGAAGGAAGCCACCATCTTGAGAGAGCCTGCAGCCCATGAGAGGGCCGTGTGGAAGGGCGCTGCTGGCAGCCTCTAGGAGCCGTGAGCGGGCCTGGGGTTGAGAGCCAGTGAGAGGGACCCCAGTCTTACATCTGCAAGAAACTGAAATCCACCAGGTGAGTCTGGGAAAGAGCCCCAAGCTTCTGAGAGGAATGGAGCCGACCCAACACACTGACTGCTTAAGAGACCCTGAGCAGAGGATCCGCTTAACGAATGTGTGGATTCCATACCGTGGAAACTGAGCTACGAAATCAATTCATGTTTTTTAAGGTGGTTCCTTTTGAGGTTATTTGTTCTGCAGTAATAGAAAATGAATACACAACCACTTCTCACTGGATGTTAATGATGTGATACAATCGTGTATTTTATAGTTTCAGTGATGGGTTTATGTGGATTTATGCATACATTGGCATATAAACCTGTTCCAAACGTGTCTGCTAGATGTGGATATTAATTTATTTGACTCCATGTATATCAATATCACTCCAGGAAAATAAAAACAACAGGCTAGATTTTACAGTATAATCACTCAATGGTATTTATTACAGGCACCTCCTATATTAGAGAGATAGTGTGATAGCTCAGGGCATGAATTGTGGAATCAGACAGGCTGGGTTCAGATCTCAGATCAGCTACTTTTGGATTGTGTTGTGGTTATCTATTGCTACATAGGAAACAACCCTAAAACATAATGCTTTCAAATAGCAGTTTATTTGCTTATAATTTTCAAGTGGGGGGGGTGTCACTCTATCCCAGGAGGTAGTGGCTGGGGTCATTCAGGAACCTCAATTCCTCCATGTGGCATCTCTTTCTGCATGGAGTGAGTTTGGGCTTCCTCACACCATGGCGGTCTCAGGTTGGTTGGAATTCTACCATGGCAGCTGGTTTCCACAAGAGAATTCTCTAAAAGGTCAAAAGTAAACACTTCCGATCTATGAAAGCCTGTCTTTGGAGACCACGTAGAACCCCTTGTGACTCGTCCTACTGGTGAATGCCAGTCACAGGATTGGGGTGGTGTGGGATGAGGGAATAGGTCCCACCTTTCTGTAGAGTAAGTGGTAAATGATTTACAGCCATCTTTAACCCAGCACAGTTTGACTGGGCAAGTGACTTTACCTTTTGAAAGAAATAATAATAGTAGCTACCTCAAGAAGTTAAGATGATTAAATTATTTCATCCATGCAAGCGGCCTATTAGAGGCATGAACAAAAGTCACGGATACACAAGTGCTTATTATTGTCACTAGATTTAAATTAAAATGTCATTTCTCATTCTAGCCTTTCAGCTCCTGGAGAGCAGGTATCGTATCTGATACGTCTTTAATCCTTCCCAAGGCCTGCTTGGCATGGCTCTTGGACGTGTTGGCTCAAATGATATGAAACTGGCCAATATTTGACTATTTTTGACCTATGAAGATGGTTATTTCACATGGGACAACCTCATGATATGTGTATATCAAATGTTAATTGAGCAAATGATAAGGACTTTGAATTTATTTAAAATTTTGATTTCATTGGTTGAGTCAAACAATGGTAGTCTGAATCTCCTTATGGTGAGGCAACCTTCCATGTTCAACTGCCTTGGTGAAGTGTCCTCCTGGGTGTCGAACAGTCACCCTGCAGTGCCCACCTGGCACCTCTCACTCTGGTCCTCCTCATCTCAGTAAATGGCATCATTATTAGGGTCAAAAAAATGTAGCGGAATTTCCTGATTTCTTTTTCTTACAGACAATTAAAAACACATCTTCTTATGTTTCTTTCAAAGGGTACCTCAAATCTGCCTCCTCCAACTCCATCCCGGCCTGAGGCTCCTACCTCACCTCCTTATTTTTATCTCCTGATTCCATTCTTGTCCCTAACTTCCATGGTCTACTCTCCATTCAGAACCTCAGGTGATGACTTAAATGGAGATCAGGTCTTGACCCTCCTCCCTCATGATGGGCCCTGACCGCCTGTCTGCCTCATCCCCTACATTCTCCTTCCTGTCCACTCTCATGCTGCTCTCTGCTGTTCTGGGAGGCACCCAGCTCACTCCCTGGGCTCCTCAACTGTTGGAGACAGTCTTCCTCCAGATACTAGGACGCTAAAGAAGAGGGGAAACTAGCCTTAACGGAGTGCTTCCTAAGCAGCCGGCACCAAACTAGGGAAGTCCACGTTTGATAGTCCTCTCCTGGCATTATATCAGAAAAAAAAAAGTGACCCAGAACCACTTCATATGTGTTGGAGAGAGGTTATTCGAGAAGAAGTGTGCCGGATGGATTGGGAGGGACAGACCTGTGGAAAAGAGACTGGTGAGGAAGCAAGAAGCCATGTGGGCCCTGCCTGTTTGGCTCCAGAAAGCAGAGTCAAAGGACATTCAAAAGGAAAAGGAGGTGTTTAATACACACAGTTGTTTATATAAACACATCATAGATATGCAGGCATGTGGTGGGTATTTATATGCGCATATATAAAAGCACATTTATTCTGATAACTTTTTGATATTGCTGACATCTAAGAGAATAATTTATGTAGAAGTTTAGAAGACAAAGAACAGAAAAAAAACTCTAATATAAAAAAAGTCTCCCTTCTTTCTACCAGTTCCTCTGTCCAAAGGTGGCCATGGTGAACACTGTGTTACAAACGTGTGACGATAGGAGACATACTTGTAGAACTTGATGACAGAGGAGGGTGCACAGCGGGGGGTGTCTGTGAAAAATGCCCTGGAAGTTTCCGTCCTGGGTGAGCTGGAGACAGAGCCCGTTATCAGAGATGGAGACTCCCCCTACGTGGGGGGGCAGTGAAGCAATGTATTCTGCATTGTTCAGGCTTCTCTCCCTCCTTTGGGGGGTTCTCGCACTGTATGCCATCCCAATAGAAAAAAGGGCCACGACGGTAACTTCACCTTGCCCCACCCCGACACCGTGTCTTCTGAATTGAGATGGCTCTGAATCTAGACATGGGACAAAGACCTAGGGAGTCATGTGCCACCCTGGAGGGTAAGCCCAATTCTCTCTCTCTCTCTCTCTCTCTCTCACACACACACACACACACACACACACAAATACATATATACATACACATATATATTTTGTGCCTAAATACATAGTTTTCCAGAGAGACCAAACCAATAGGCTGTGCGAGTGTACGTATATATGCATGTACATTACATTAAGATTTACTGTTAGAAGTTGGCTATGGACACAGAGTCTGAGAAGTGTCAAGGCTGACAGTCTGTGAGCTGGAGATCCAGGGGAGGAAGTGAGTAGTTCTAGCCCGAGTCTGAAGGTCTGAGAATCAGAACAGACGATGGTGTCGATTCTTGTCTAAGAACTCACAGGCTTGAGAATCAAGACAAGTCAATGTTCCATGTGGCATCTGAAGGTAGGACAAGACTAATGTACCAACTCACACACTCAGGTAAGAGGAGCTCCTGCTTCAGCTGATTGAATGAGGCCCAGCCACGCTAGGGAGAGCAATTTGCTTTATTCAGTCTACTGATTCAAATGTTCATCTTATCCAGAGACACCCTGCCAGATACAACAACAAAAATGTTTGATCAAATATCTGGGCACCTTGTAGCCCATTCAAGTTGACAAATAAAACTGAATACACATACATGTATACAGTTGCCACATAAAATTATACATATGTTTATACATGTGCATACACATACACATATTCATACATATATGTATGTGTATATGCAAGTATCATATTGTATATTTTTTTTCACTTGGGGTGTAGCCTATAGAGAGGAAAATGGAGAAATCAAGCACAAAACTTTATATCAACTCAGTCTGAAACTCTAGCTTTAACCTATGAAAACACTCCTGTATAAACACTAGTAGGATACCTTGTGTTCAGTCTGGTTTCAAAGTTGTGTGTTAAATTTTTGTTTTATGAAGGAACTCCTTTTCATCAGGCATCTTAGCACTTTGATTGGTATTTGCTCTGTTAAATGTTCTCTTTAAATTCCTGACAGCTGTGAGAGATGCTCACGGGAGATTGAGCACTTAGTTAGGAGACCCAGGGGACCATCTGTGCAGTATTAGAGATGGCTCCACCTTACTGTCTAGCAAGGATTCCTTTGGCCTAAGGGAATGGCTTGGGGATCTCGGCAACATCATTCACTCAATGTACATCAAGCACCTACTGTGTGTTCTAGGCACTAAAGGCACAGAAATGAACAAAAGAGTCTCTTATGAAATTTGCATTCTAAAGGAGTGGGGATGAGGACATAAGCAATAGCCACATAGATAAATAAACATGAAAGTTTCACCTGGTAATAACAGAAGAATATGAAGGATTGTAAGGAAACCAGAGAGCCATGGCAGACTGAGAGGAAGTTGATTTTGGCAGGGGAATCAGGCTGATCTCCTAAAAAAGAGAAGTGAAGGGCATGGGTGTAAAAGTCATGAACTCAACCAGGTAAGCCCTGCAGCTTACCAGGCGGGAAGAACCGCAGGTGCAAAGGTCCTGAGGCAGGAGAATGCTGGACATTTTGAAAGAGGACCAAAGACATCCATGTGGCTAGAATGAAGTAAGTGGCAGAAATTAGAGAAGTGGTGGAGGGTCAGATGTGAAGAGTTTTGCAAGTCATGGTTAAAGATTAGGATTTTACTCTGAGTAAGATAGAAAGCCATCGGAGAGTTTTGAGCATAGCCTAGTTGTAACCTGACAGGCACTTTAAAAGGATTGCTGTGTTGAAGGTAGTCCAGAGGGCAGCCAGGATATACAGAGGAGGGCCAGGTGGAAGGCTATTGGGACGACTCAAGGAAGAGATGATGGAGGCTTGGAACTTGAGGATAACAGCGGAAGCAGCAGTCAGTGGAGTTCTATGAAAAAAATACAAAAATTTTCAAAAAGCCCCCAATTCACAGCGACTGCTGATTTCTGAATTATAACTAGTCCTACCAAAGCTGACTTTAAGTACTTACGGTCTAACAGCTAGCTTGCACATTCATGAATATTTAACAGTTGTCTCTCAGCACAGCACTGAGGGACATGGTTCAGTGTGAGTGCAGAGTCTGAGGACAGAGAGATCAGGATTGTGGAAGGATTCGACGTGGGTTGTGAAAGTAAAGGAAGGGGCCCGCATTGGCTCCAGGATTTTTTGACCCGACCAGATGGGAGGA